TCTTGATTAGTACTAGAATGTAACTATTCAAACCGATATTTCAGAACCAAGATCGATACGATGTAAAATGTATACTGAATCATAGTATTTTGTATGATATCGGTCACGGTATGAGCTATAAGTTCCGAATCATATCCCATCATACTTGCCCAAGGGAAACAAGCAAAAACAATCATCACTACATGCATGAAATAAACAAATGCTAACAGTCATCCATTTCACTCATGACAATGCTAAAGACAAAGAAAATCAACAAATGCAAATGAAAAGAATAAGATATTTTAATTATGGCAAGTGATAGGCCTAAACAAAGGCTAAACCCATATATATATATAGTAGCCAAATACATCTAGCTGTGTGGTCGCGGATTACAAATAAATAATAATAATGAGCAAACAATGAAACGTACGCAGGCGCTATGCCTTGGAATTAGAAATGGCCTCCTTGGCGGAGTCAAGGGTGGAAACAACAGAGGCCGCGGCGTTGGTCAAGACCGCGCCGCTTGTTTTCTTGTCGTTCGGCTGATAATGGATTATCTCCACCGCCCTCTTTTCTTGGCTCTGCCCCGCCGATGACCGGAGATCCACCGTTTCCACCTTCCTTTCCACTTGACCTTGCGAATCCATACGACCCTACCTCCCAAACAACTTATTAACAAATTATAAGAAATAATCACTCCTATAATAGGAGCAAAACATTGCACTATACACTACTATAGAATATATATTACACAGCGGATAAATATGGCTTTTCCCATCGGAAAACAGCCGCTGTCCATGCAACCGATGGGAAAGATCTCTTGGTTACGTACGCAGCGCCTATTTTTTTGATGTATAAACTTTATACAACGCATATATTATGTGTGACCTTAAAAGTATAAAAGAACAAATCTTCGGTATTATATGTTCGCATTATAGATTATAATTTGGAAATAAAAAACATAAAATTTCTATTTTGATGACTTTCGCTATGTTTTACTCTCAGTTTAATCATTTTCTCTTGCCACTCAATTATGGAGTAATAATCAACTTAATCTTGGCCTTTACGTTTGGCTTAGACTATCTAATTCTTCAGTTTGACTTCACGGGATTTAGAATTCCAATATACTCCAAGTTTTCAGCACTCTCACTGTCTGAATTTATTTTGCTAATTTGATTTATATATCCCTACACGTTCGAATATACTCCGTAATATTTTGACTATTAATAAATATTATTCCTAATCTCTCATACTTTTCTTTAGTGTTATGTACTATTCACGTAATCAAAATAAAAAAAAATCTTGTTTTCTTCTCTATGTGTTAATTATCCGTACGGTTGAAATAACATAATCCATGCATATCACTCTTATGATTTGGAACGTCTAATTTGAAAATAACGTCGAACACTATAGATAAAAACTAGAAGAAAATCACATGATTAAGGGACTATATATATTTGTACATAATCAAATAACATGGAGTATATATATAAAAGTATGATAATATATGGACATTATAATTTATATCTAAATGTACTAGCTGGAGTATATTGTTAAATCTCGTTTAAAATTTATGAATTTTGACCCTAAAAAATTAAACATGCAATATAAATTGGGATTGAGGGATGGATAATTACATTCAAATTTTCCAAGATCGTGAAAAGCAAATAAAATTGAAAACAAAACTCTAAAGTAATTAAGGTGTAATATATAATTCAGAATTATTGTTTATGTGAGTATTTTTAATTTTATAGATAGATTACATAAATAAACAAATGGATCCCATGCATGGGATCGATCAAACCTGCAGGAGATTAGTATCTATTCTTTTGCTTAGTGCAGAATTGTATTAATTATATATATTAAATACACTTAAGAATTTGAAATGAATAATACCTGGCTTGTGGATGTATTCATGGTGGAAGCTTGCTAGCTTTTTGGGGAATGATTTTTTTTTATTAATATTTTTATGAAGATGGATGGTATCCAAAATATTTTTCTTTATAAAGTGGCAACTTAAATTTGATGTTCTTATTACATGCATAAATGTGGGTGATTAATTATTTGTTCTGGTTTTCGTGGGATTAGGAAGAGCGGGTCATTAGCGTAGGTGTCTGGCTCAAGATTTGTCTAGCAAAATTTTGTCCGCAATTAGTTCTCTATGATGTCTTTGGCATCCCTTCAAAAATATTCCTCCCATCAAACTTTTTCAGCTTCGAAAAAAACTGGAGTAAAACAGTTTAAGTGCTATTTAAAAAAATGACTTAAGTTTTGGTGCTATTTAGTGCAAATATTTCTTGTAGAATCCATTTACCACGCACCATCAATTTTTTATTTCAAATTTTAATAAAGAAAGCTTAACTACTCTGCACGGGGATTAATAGCACAAAAAGCATACCACTCACCTCTCTATTACTCAGGCCCAAAACATGTATGTAACCCAACCCATAGTTTTTAGGCGGGAACACTATCCAATATTGCCTCTTAACTTTGTATAGATAGAGATAGAGATATACTTAAATTATAATTAATAATTTAGATCCATTACATTTAATTTCACTTCAATGTAATCGAATTGTATGCAATTTCATTTAATTTAAGTGTAAAATTGATTCTACTTCATTGAATTTAATTTTATTTTTTTCTAATTTCAACCAAATGTATCTAAATTCACCTAATTTGACTTCAACTCAACATAATTACATTCAACTTCATCCTAATCAAGAATAAAATTGATTGAATTTCAAATACTTTTACACTCAATTGCATTCAATATCCTTCAATTGTATTAATTTTTAGAAGTAAAATTGAGTGAATTTCAATTAATTTCACCTATTTTCACTTAGTTTTTACCAGTTACATTCCATTTCATTACGAAATATACTTTTTACTTCAATAGCTTGTAGTCCAAATTTGTAGAATATGACTAGACTGTAAAAATGGAAGATTATTTATGACGGACAAAGTATAATTAGAAAAGGTGTAAAATAATATGAGGTTATGTCTTTATGATAGATTGATAAATGTGATATGACCAAAAAGGGAAAATGGATAATTAAATTTCTATTTGAAAATAACATATATCTAAAATATATCTGAGTCAAATTATTTCTGGAATCGGAATATATCAAAACCGAAATATATAAATGCATCTGAAAGTGAGTGTAACCGCACCGATTGATATCTGGTCCGTATCTTAATCATCCCAAAACCGAATCGAAACCAAATACTGTAAGAATAAAAAAAAATCTTAACCAAAATTAAATGAAGCCTATTTGAATCGAACTGCTTATAACATATATCCCAAAAATATCCAAACCGAAAATATCCAAATTGGAAGTGATTCGATTCACAGGTCTACTTTTTAATATGTAAAGTTTATTTTTTAATTCCGCTCTAGTTCTTTAATAAATTGTATTGAGAATAACTTCAGTTAATAAGTGTTAATTACTTACGTGGTCCTCTTTCATTGAGATTTACTTCTAAGATAGTTCTTCGTAAATAATGTTATTTAAATGATGATTAATTGGGAGATATTTAGTATTTTTTATCCGCTAAATTTAGAATAAGTTCTTAAAATGATCATTTCTAATGAAGTGCTTTCCTAGAATGGTTTTTTTCTAATTAAAAATGCGTATTTGATTCTAAATTTAAAAGTTTTTTTATAAGTATTTAATAATTCATGGATTATGTACAACAATGTATTTTTTAATTTAACATTTAGTTGTACAGAAATGATCGTTTCGAGAATATAATTTGAACTTAGATGATAGAAATACCACAATACCCCAATTATTCATCATTTGAGTAATATTATTTACGAAAGACTATCTAGAAAATAAATTTTAATTATAAAAGATCATGCAAGTAATTAAAACTTATTGAGGACTGAATTGTGAAAATAGCTTATTACAAAGGACCATTTTAAAAATTTACTCTTAAAAAATTTAAAAAGATAAAATATGTTTTCGTTTTTAAAGGTTTTTAACGTGAATATCATTGGTTATACTTTACATTTTACGTTAATAGAAGAATAATGCTAAAGTCACAAATAAAAAACTCACAAAATTCACAATCTTACCTTTTGTGCATTTAAGTATTTATTTTTTGATTATTCGAAACCATTATTTGACACCTTTAATTTACACAATTGGCAAGATTGTGAATTTTGTGATTGTTTAGTTTGTGACTCTAGCATTACTCTTAATAGAATTAGTTTTTAAGGTCACAATCAATTTTGAGCATTATAAGTATATAATAATGGACATTTTTACGTTTTTAGCTTTTCAAAGGTTTTGAAGCATTAAAAAAATTTATGTATCTATAAAAACAATTAATCAACCCCAAATTTATGAAAAGTTAGATGTTTTAAAGAATCCTAAAGTTGATAAAAAAAATTAAAGATAACACATTAATTACATAAAATAATTGGTTTTATGTTATCCATTTTTATGTTTAAGGTTTTATCTTGCAATTACAAAATTTAGTTTTTTACGTGTTTCGTTTTATTTTGCAATTACACAATTATTTTGTATAAAATAAATTAAATTAAAATGGTTTATGTTCCTTTTTTTTACATTTTCGGGTTTTTAGAAAATAATTGCAACTAATCTTTGTTCTCAAAAAATAATTGTTATTGGTTATATTTGTCTGGTTTTTTCATTAGATGGATTGAATTCTAAGTATTGAAGGTGAATCTGAGATTTCAAAATTCTCTTCCACTATTTTCTATTTCTATCCCCCCCAATGGTAAAATATTGATAAGACTATAAGAGAGCATTAAGACTCTCACTCAAACTCTCTCCACTCTCACTGGGGATGCCCTTAAGCCCTAAGGACACCCTACCCCTAGGCTAAGAGGACTATCCCTTGAAATGGGCTCTACCGAATGACTAGCCAATTGAAATGGCCTCTTTGGGGCTCAACACACCAACGCGTAACTTCCCTTTGGAAGAAAATAAAGCATTTGAACCAGCACATTTTTTGGAGATAGGAAGGAGCAAGTGCAAACTTGATAAAGACTTTCCATAACAGCTGGTGCACTAAATAAAATTTGTTGTCTATGTCATTCACGATTCACCCACATTGTTTGAAGTATATACCTCTCGGGCAATCGAGGCAGGACAAAAAACATCATTCTTGAACTAATAGAAGACATCAGTAAGTCACGAGGGGCGATCCGCTGCAATGGACATCTGAAGCATCAGTGATCTTTTGCCTGGGAGACAATGTGACACTAGCAGCAACATCAACATCAGCATTGATGATTATTTTTCTCTTCTGGTTTTCAACTCTCACTTTGTTGTTGTCAGTCTCAACTTCGTGTTCGTCCACTTGTTGGTGTTGCTTGGAGATGATGGCTTGAGCCTCAGCAACGAGTGTTGCATCGTCATCTGTAGCATACAGAATCTTTTTCAATGCTTCAACCACCTGCACACACATATGAAACCAGGGCAATTCCATATTCGATCAGTCCATGTAATAGTTTCTCTATGAACGGTAGTGCAGATATTGAGAGAGAACTTTACGGGTAGGTTTTCAATCTCGGGGCATTGGCACACAATTTCAATATCCCTCAGCTTAGCAAAGTAGAAGTCCCTCTCCCTCTCCAGACTATCCACAGACAACTTCAACTCTGTAATCTGCATTTCACCAAGAAAAAAAGGTTGAGCATTCATACTTCAATGCTCTTATGGAGAACTGTTGGAGGTATAAGCTTTATTAGAAACCTGTTGTTCATGTGCAGCCTTTTCTGTTTCAGAGTAGACGGAGCGGCCTCCACTTGAAGATGGCCTAGATGTCTTTCCAGAAAGATTTGTGGTGCTTATATTGGTAGCATCATTCCTACGGCCATTGGGTGGGACATGATGCTTGGTGGAAGCTGAGGAAGGCTTGGCCGAAACTTGTTGTGATGCTGCTGCAGATTTCTTGTTCACTTCCTTTCCACCCTTGCTGGCCTCTCTTCTCTCTAGAGCGTTGTAACTACACATTGAAGTTTGAAAAAACAAATTGAAGTTTGATGATCACAACCTAACTTTGAAAGCACAAACTGGTGTAGATAGTCATGAATGCCAACTACTTCAGCATATTTAGTTCAATCAGGAATAAAAAAACTTCCATTGCAACTCTATAGCGTATACGAGCAAAAGCTTTAGCTAAGAGTCATCAAGGTACACATTAAACCAATCAAATAATCACCATCACCATCAATTATCCAAGAAGATTGTTTTAAAAAACAATTCAAGAATATCCAGATCAATTAAACCCACTTAGAACCAGATCAAACAAACCCACTAGATAGTCATGAATGTCAACTAGTTCAGCATATATAGTTCAATCAGGAATCAAAAAACTTCCGTTGCAACTCTAAAGCATACAGGAGCAAAAGCTTTACTTAAGAGTCATCAAAGTACACATTAAACCAAACACCATTACCAATCAAATAATCACCATCACCATCAATTATACAAGAAGATTGTTTTAAAAAAACAATTCATAACGATCCAGATCAATTAAACCCTGCTTAGAATATCCAGATCAAACAAACCCACTAGATAGTCATAAATGTCAACTACTTCAGCATATGTAGTTCATTCAGGAATCAAAAAACTTCCGTTGCAACTCTATAGTATACAGGAGCAAAAGCTTTACCTAAGAGTCATCAAGGTACACATTAAACCAAACACCATTACCATCAATGGTCCAAGAAAATTGTGTTAAAAAACAATTCTAGAATATCCGATCCAGACAAAACAAATCCACTAGATAGTCATGAATGTCAACTAGTTCAGCATATTTAGTTCAATCAGGAATCAACACACTTCCATCGCAACTCTATAGCATACAGGAGCAAATGCTTTACCTAAGAGTCATCAAAGTACACATTAAACCGATCAAATAATCACCAACACCACCAACAGTCCAAGAAAATTGTGTTAAAAACAATTCTAGAACATCCAAACCAAACAAACCCACTTGCATAAAGCACGGATTACATGTTAATGCATATCCCTGCAGGCTTTTAAAGTCAAGCTAATTAAGGGAAGCAGATAGAGAGAACAAAAACACAAAAATCAAATTCATGAATTTACTTGAGTGCAGCTCCTCCTCCTACAGAATCACAGTAGCGCTTCATCCACTGCATAAACTCCAGGTTATCCAGAGGCCTTCCTTTCACCAGTTTGCTCACCTCAATATGCTGATGACAACACACAATTAAATACACAATCATGAACGATAGAAACTATGTACGAGAGCAATATTAATTTCCTTATAATCCATCTTTCACTCATTTAACATCAGGAAATTTTGTAAACACCAAGAAATCAATTGACAATTAAAAAACACGGGGAAAAGCAATTCAAAGGGAAGGAGAGGAGAAACCTTAGTAATTTTGAGCTTGTTGAAGACATCTTGAAGGACCTTGTAGTTCTGGATCATTTCGTACTCATTCTTCGCATCAAAATTGACCTTGTGCATCGGGACCACCCCAGGATGAACAGAATCCATCAATTGGCACTGGACCGCGCCTGTACATGCCTGCAAAAGCGATGGAAGTTCCCCTCAAATCTCGAATCTGAATTTGTCTACAAGGAAAAAAAATAAACGAAGGATATATACCTCTTCGACTTTCGAGATACTGAGATGGAGAGTGGAGTTGATCCAGGAAAGGATCTCAGATCTGCCGATGAAGTAAGCGGAGTCCATCATTCCAATGTTGGATGCCATTTGCTCCACTTACCTATCGCTCCCTACGCTCTGCCGGCTATCAAATCGGAGAATCCGAGAAGCGAGATTCTAGTGGCCGTGTGCGGCGGCTGTGAGTCGTTGCTCCGCCTTGGAACGTCAAGTCTGAACTCGAGTTCTAAACGGAGGAACTGCGGAATAACGACAAGGGGGGAGCGTGAGTATTTGAATTTTGAAAGTCCGCCAGGTTGGTTCACTTGATTGTGCAACGGATGGGAAATGGTTTTTGAATAGGGTAAGATGATTCGCCAAACATCTTTTAATATCATTCCAATACTCCCTCCCTCCCTAAATATTCACAACATTTGCTTTTTCAGTAGTATCGGGAACTTTTGTTTATTTCTACGTTTTCATTGATTATTTGATAAAATAAAATATTCTTGACGCTTCTTATTCCGAAGAACTTTTCATGTAGTTTTTTTATATGTAAATTTTATTTTTTATTTCTTTACCAATATGTAAATAAAATGAATTAAAAAAACTTGATATTTTGCCTCGAGAATACAAATGTGACAAATAATTTGGGACGGAGGGAGTATGAAAAATGCTAGGGGTACACCATTTGTACCCCCTCCATCTCCACAACACAAAGCAAGAGAGAGAAAAAAATTAAAAATAAAAAAATAAATGAAGGGCTAGGATGCATGATGTACAAAATGGGGTACCCCAAATGGGGTACCCCTAGCATTCCTCTTCTAATATACATAGCTATATTAAAAGGAAAATGCTAGGGGTACACCTTTTGGTGTACCCCATTTGTCCCCCACCCCCTCCATTACCACTTAATTAGGCAAGAAAATTAAAAAAAATAAGTAAATAAAAATAAAAAATAAATGAGTGGTTATTGAAGGGGTGGTGTACAAATGGGGTACACCCCTAGCATGACCCATATTAAAAACATGAAGAGTGCTAACTTCCCGTCTAAAGTTCTCATGGTTTGAAGCATTGAATTTGGATATCCGATTGGGCAAAAAGATTTTTGATAGAGCTAATGATCCTTTGGTACTCATGAAAGCATTTCAAGCATGTGTTGGGACATGTGTCTTGACGGCATGTGTTGGGGCATGTGTTTTCACTTCAACCAATATGCTTTATTTCTCACACACTCCAATGTAAAATCATCATTGTTTTTTCTCCCCACAATGCATGTCCGAATTTAATGTTTATAAACAACCCTTGCCGAATACCTTCAATTCATTTAAATTTCATCTTTCCAATGTGGCTCCCTAACGTGTTTTACCTGGTCTCTTTACCAATATTGATGAGCTCAAAAAGGACCACAACAATATTGTTATTCACATACGAGCTATTCCTGTCTATCATGTTCAGTCTTTTAGAAGAAAATGTTGAATCAATGGAGGTTGTCTTTCACGACGATGAGGCGTGTAAACTTTGTTTAAATCCTGATAATTCAAGTTATTTTTAAGGCGTTCAAATTAAAGTTGTGCACTCAAACAAGAAATTGTTTACAAATGATTTTTTGAAATATTCAAACGGGCATATCAATTTGGGAAGGTAACTTTATGGAATTTTGTGTTATTAATTATCCTTCATTCGAGATTGTGCAATGACGGCTTTGCATCGTTATTCTAAAAGCATATTACTTTATAAATCAACAATCACCATCTTCGAAAAGCTAATCTAATCTAACTATATACAAAGTTAGGATGATTTTTTGAATAGTATTCCCGCCTAAATTAATAGATTATCCAATTAAGTTTGGGCCCAACAAATTGGGCCTAATTGATGGATAGTGTATAGATATGAAAGCACGTGTGTTATAAAGTTGGTGCATGACTCGATGCAAACTTTATGTCAAATCAAAATAAATAAATGGGTAGTGTTCTGTTATAGAACCACGTGCGTAGTAATGTTGGTGTGTGGCTCGATACAAACTTTATGTCAAATCAAAATAAGTAAATTGGTAGTGTATCTATGGAATCGTGTGCGTAGTAAAATAAATGCGTGACTCGATGCAGACTTTATGACAAATCAAAATAAATAAATGGATAGTCTATTGATATGCAACTGCGTGCGTAGTAATGTTGGTGTGTGTCACGATTCAAACTTTATGTCAAATCAAAATAAATAAATGGATAGTGTATTGTTATGAAACCACGTGTGTGGTAAAGTTGATATGTGACTCGATGCAAACTTTATGTCAAATCAAAATAAATAAATGGGTAGTGTATTGATATGGAACCGCATGCGTAGTAATGTTTGTGCGTGGCTCGATTCGAACTTTATGTCAAATCAAAAGAAATAAATGAATAATGTATTGATATGGAACTGTGTGCATAGTAATGTTGGTGTGTGGGTGGATGCAAACTTTATGTCAAATTAAAATAAATAAATGGATAATGTATTGCTATGGAACCGCATGCGTAGTAAAGTTGGTGCATGACTTAATGCAAGCTTTATGTCAAATCAAAATAAATGAAGGGCTATTGTATTGATATGGAACCAGATCGTAGTAATGTTGGTGCGTTGGTTGATGCAAACTTTGTGTCAAATAAAAACAAATAAATTGGTAGTGTATTGATTTGGAACCGCATGCGTAGTAATGTTGGTGCGTGACTCGATGCAAACTTTATGTCAAATCAAAATAAATAAATGGGTAGTGTATTGATATGGAACCGCGTGCGTAGTAATGTTGGTGTGTGGCTCGATGCAAACTTTAGGTCAAATCAAGATAAATAAATGGGTAGTATATTGTTATGGAATTGCGTGTGTAGTAAAATTGGTGTGTGGCTCCATGCATACTTTATGCCAAATCATATGAAATAAATAGATTCAATAAATCATGTAATTTAATGGGTGGATTGATTTTCTAATTAATATACTACCTCCGTCCCATTTTATAACGCCTGTTTCGGTTTACGATGTTTGACTGAAATTATTTCCAAACCATTTTATATGACAAATGGTATAGAATTAAAAAATAAAAATTACATATTAAAAAACTACATCAAAAGATCTACAAAACTAGTAGTGACAATAATATTTTATGTTATCAAATTGCTAACGAAAATAGAGAAAGAAAGTGAATAAAGTTTGACCCTGTGAATAGTAAACAGGCATTATAATTTGGAACGGGAGTACTACTTATACTCCAAACATTTCATACCTCTCATCTCAATTCACCACACTTTCGAAAAAATGTCTCAAAACATTCAAAGAGTCTGTGGAATGCGCTCGCCGAGATTGCCAATAGTCGAACCACTTGGATGCTTATATTACGAATCGTTCGTGTTTACTTTGTTCTGGCTTAGACAAGAGGAGGAGATTCGATAGAAGTGATCTTTCATGATGAACATGTATAGCATTCACAATTTTTTAATATTTAATTATGTGTTATTATTAGAATTTAATATTATCATTTTCTTTCATCAATGTTTTCCCTAATTATATAGTTTATAATTAGGCCGTGCAACGCACGGGTACGAGTCTAGTATTAAGACAAAGAAAAAACATGAATAATGCTTTTTGGTTCAGGCATGAGCGGGTTTGATTATATAAAATGGATAATTTTATAGGAGGCCATGAAAACATTATGGCTTTCGCATTCGGTTATGTGTTTAGGCAGTCTTTAGGTGGCTTGCTTTATGGGGAAATTAAACAATGCACTTAGTAGACATGATATTAATTATTTCACATGAAAGAATGTGTGATGGCTCGTTTTACAATTATACATGGACTGAAGAGCCCATTGTCTAACCCAATTAGCACCACAGATCCATACCCGGTATGATAAGATGTTTACCCAAATCATCCAACCTATATCCAAAGCCCACATCCGAAAACCAATTAGATAGGCGGGAAAATGATAGTTCATGTTTTCCCTTCATATTTGTATATTAAAAGATTGATTTGAAATAATGTGTATATGTCTATATAGTACTCCCTTCGTCCCTATTTAAATCGAATATTTTGGTTTACGATGTTTGACTCAAGGTATTTTCTAATCATTTTATATAAAAATGGTGTAGAATTAAAAAAATAAAAATTACTATATATTTACAAACTACATCAAAAGATCTACAAAATTAGTAATAGCATAACTATATTATTTTACTCCCTCTCTAAAATGTTGTTCCCAATTACTTTTCACATAATCAAACTTTAATCACTTTCTTTACCTATTTTCATTAGGTATTTGATAAAATAATATAGCCTTGTCACTACTTGTTTTGTAAAACTTTTGATGTAGTTTTTAAATATATAAATTTTATTTTTTAATTTTACACCTACAATCAAATAAATTGAATTGAAAATAAAGTCAGTCAAACGTCGTAAACACAACGGGAAGAACATTATAGGACGGAGGGAGTATCAAATAACTAACGGAAATAGAAGAAAAAAAGTCAATAAAATTTGACCATGTGAATAGTTGAACAAACAATTTAATTTGAGATACTAGTAAAGAGCATATACTTGCTCTTTTTTTCCGTTGATTTTTCGAGGCTATCATACAGGGTATTTTATTACTCTGTATTATCTTGGGTACTGCTCATCGATCATAGGAACGAAGCAAATGTTTTGTTTCTGAAGATAAATGTGTCTGCAATGCACAAAAAGGTATTAACAACTTATAGTTTGGGACAACAATAGTAATGTACTCCAGTACTTAGGCTGCAATGTTTAGGCAGTATAATCACTATTCCAGTAGATGATTGCCAATTTCATATATCTTCTATTTTGTTATTAATTGTTTAAGGCAAAATATACCGCATATAATTTTGAACAGGCATTAGAATTCTCAGGACCGGTACTATGCACACGCGTTTTTCAAACAAGCTCTCAATGAGAGAGTCGTGTGATTTCGCACTATTTGTATCTCATCTGTATTAAGCACATACATTCCCCTTTCGCAATAACAATGCACCATCCATTATGAAACCTTCTTTCCACACTGACGAAATACAAACAAATGCATTTATCACCACAAAGTATTTACAATCAAAATAATCATCGTTCATTGTGAAATACCTTTCATATATGAGTTTGAATTTTAGTTTGGTTCAGATATCGAGAAATGAACCATAACCAGCAAATTGCATTGCAACAAGTTGATCATTCAGCATATACATTTCAATGTACAACTTAAGCTTCATACTTCTTCAGTTTGAGATTTAGGTTTCGCAGCATAATACATAGTGAGAAAGAATGTATGAGTTGTGGGTGTGAACCAGATGGGGATCATGAAGTTGTTTGCATGGTGGTGCATCGAGTGGCATTATGCCTTCTACAAATCATAATTACATTTCGCAATCGGTTAGCTAGCTTTGAGATATTGTCTTTCCAGGACCACGTAGGGTCATTAAGAGCACGGATGGAATTCAAGCACACAAGAAGAGTTCCACCTTCATGTAGAAGCACCTGCCATGGGGATGATCACAAAGAAACATGATATGATGTCATAATAATGCTTGCTCTAAAGGATAAAAATTGAAATAGAGGAAACTGATTAGAAGAATAAAAATTTAAGGTCTTTGGTATCATTCCTAGAAGTGATCAAGGGATCTTGAAACTTATAAATTTCATAAGTGATTTTGAAAACCAACAGATTATTAGTATGTTTTCAGTTATTTAGTTACAGAACATCAGCAGCAACAAAACCTAGTATAATCCCATACGATTTAGGGTCTGCGAGGGCATGATACATGCAACTTGACCGCTGTAACGAAGAGGTTTTATGTTAGACCTTTGATGTATCGTTGCAATTATTACCCGAAACCTCAAGAATAACAAAAAAGGACGGTTAATGTGCCTTATTTGGACCACTATTTACCAAAAGCTAAAATAATGTCAATAATGATTGCTTTAGCAATTGGAAATGGATGCAATAAAAAAAGTTTGGCATGGTTCTCTTTTGCATAAAATAGAATCAATACTGGCCAATGTGCCAAACCCTCTAACTTATCAATTCTCCCATAATGCAAATTCTAATGAATCTTATACTGTTGGCAGACATCCCCCAACCAAATTCTGAAGAGAAGTTTTGAAGAAAAAAATCATACCGTTAGCCACAAGGGGAGAAATCCCATAACCGATGTAAGTGAGGCAAAGGCAATGCTAGACAATGCAAGAGCCACATTTTGCTGAATCTGAAAAGTAGAGCAACAATACAAAATGACAATCAGAACACAACAAGCATCTTCAGTAACCATATGAGGAAAAAAGGAAGATACCAGCGATGTTGTTTGCCGAGATTTAGCCACACAAAATGGAACACCAGAAATATTGTCTTGCAATAACAGGACGTCTGCAACAGCTATAGCTGATGCACTGGCACGTTCAGCTAGAACAATGCCAACAGTAGCAGCAGCAAGAGCAGGGGCATCATTGATACCATCGCCTACCATTATTAGCCCCCCTGCAAAAAAAGTACACAAATATTATGTGACAACTGACAAATTACAAATGAATTGAGACATTAAGGCTATGTATTATGTTTGAACCCCGGAAAATGATATGGAAAGGGATAAAATTGCTACGGACTGTTACTTTCTGGTTTTGGGCTGCAATGGAAAATGCAAAAGAAAATGAAATACATATACAATATACTCTTAATTATTTTTCAATAAGTCTATGTTTGTTTAGACTTTAGATTCCTAAGAGGTTCTATGGTGGATCTAAGGTCCACATGGACCTTCACACATATTTTTTTATTTTTAAAAATGCTTATTTCAATAGTTGGAAAATGCTTATTTAGCATATATGAAGGTCAACCATGGACCTAAGGTCCATACAATAATTATCCTAGATTCTTTTAGTCTTTATACATGTTTCCATCCAAATTATGCCCCTACATTTTCCTCTCATTTTCTTTCTCTGGCATTTTTGGAGTTACAACAACAACAACCCAGTTGAAATCCCACAAGAGTAGGGTCTGGAGAGGGTGTGTACGCAGCCCTTACCCCTACTCGAAAGTAGAGGCTGTTTCCAAAGAGACCCCCAGCTCAGCATTGAAAGTTGCATTGATTAACTAACTACTACCTCATTAATTAAAGAAGCACAGACCAAAAAATAGTCCATTTCTGGAGTTACAAACGGACCCTAAATTTTTGGATGTCAAAATCTAAATGCATTTGAAACCCGAGAAGTAACTTGTAAGATCCAGAATATCAATGAAAATTTGAATGAGAAGAAATATCACCAGATTCTCTTGAAATTCTTGTCACATGATATAGCTTATCCTCGGGTTTAAGGCTACAGTAAACCTCTTTGATGCCCGCAACATTTGCAACTCTCCATGCGCTTGCTTCATGATCGCCTGTTAACATCATTACACGAAGTTCTCCTTGGTCGTGTAATGTGCGTATGACATCTGGAACCCCAGGTCGAGGCTTATCTTCGAAGTGAAAAAGAGTAACCTATACAAAACTTTTGAACTTAGCTTCGGAAGTCTTTGGGAAGCCGAAGGTTACACAAATAAAGAAGAGTGCTATAAAAAAGAGAGTACAAAGACTAGTGAAAACTATGGGTATACCATTCTTGTCCAACTTTCTTTGGCAACTTTCCTTTCTTGAGGATAGAAAACAAGGAAATAAGATGAATCTATTTTCTTATTTTCCTCTCATGTATTAGATTGGAGGAAAATACAGAGCAAAAGAAAAGAAAATTTTCCAAATGGGATTGTTACATATGCTGCATGCATGTGAATTCGAAATATATTTTTCCCAAGTCGCATATGCTGTGTGCAAACTCCAAAGTGTCATATTAAGCTGATGACCAAGAAGAAAAATGCCGTAGAAAGTTGAAACTTGAATCCAGAAGCAGAAAATTGAGCTGATGAGCAAGAATAATTTGAAGGAAATATGAGGTTAAAATGGTTTCTATTACGATTTATGAATCGTAAAATTTTCCACACAAATTTCAGATTATCTGAAATTTGGAGAGAAAATGAGAAGAGGAAATTACCTTTTATTTTCCATTCATTCCTTTTTATCTCTTCTTTCCCAAACAGGAAACACAGTTCTCTCATTTTGCTCCTATATTTTATCTTTTCCCAAATGCAATGTAAAGGAAAACACTTCACCTTTTTATTGTTAACAGAAAGAGCAGCACGAACAAAATCTACTCCATAAACAGATGTCCTTACAGCCTCCTTTATCTTGCTTGATTCATCTTCAGACTGGTAAAGTGATATGATATATTCAATAGAACCCAGTGAGGCTTTCATTGGCTTACTGCCTACAAGTCCTGCCTAAAACATAAAACGAAAGGAGCTATAACTCAAATGCCTTCCTGTAGATAAAAAGGATCTTGCGAACCCAAATTAAGCAAAAAAGTATTGATGTGTTAGGGTATAAATAAAGGCACTCAATTGAGAGGAAAGAAAACACATTAGTTTGGGATATTTTTGGCTTTAATGGGGGTGCCAGAATATATTGGTTGAGTTTTCCTTCCGGGCTCTTGGAGAGTTTTCTTTGGAACCTCTTGATCCATCTTTCCTTTGAGTTATTAATTTAGTATATTGCATTTAAATATTTGAGCCTCTTTATTCTATCAAAACCAAAATGCATTCATGATCCATGGACAAAGATATGCTCCATCTGTTGTGAGAACTGTAGTTCAATGTTTTTAAACATTATAATACTCCTGCCATCTTTGATAAACCTTACAGTTTGAGTTCAAGGTTTTTAAACATAAATAATACTCCTGCCATCTTTGAAAGAACCTTACAGCTTGACTTCACAGAGTTTTAAGAGAAGTTTTGAAAAGTGAAACGTGTTTGGTACAAAGTCAAGAGTGTGTGGTTGAAATGCACTTGGAAGAGAGAAAATTAAACATGTCCACATATTTATTTCCTAGACCTAGAAGGGGAAGTGGAAAAGTGTAAAGTTGATTTTTAGACGTCCAAATAAGGAATACGAAAAGTTATTCAAAGACGGGAGTATATTTTTCTAAAATCAAGAAAAGAATACTATACTAGAACTAGGTTACCCGTCATTGATCCATTAAATATAGACAAAGTACCATGAAGCATTTCTAGTTCAAGGAGAAAAGTGGAGAACTCACAATTAAATGATCTCTTGAAATTCAGAAGAGGCAATTCCGCAATTATTTGAGAACACTTTTTTTCTTTAAAATGACATTGTTTAGGGGCAAAGGAATTGGTTATTTGTTTTTTCAAGAATAAGGTGTTATGATGCAAGATAAAGAAAACCAAACAAATATGTTGGAGATGCTCTACCCATGTAGCACCCTTAGTTAAAACTTAAAGTCCCATCAAAGAATACCAAATCAAACTTATGAATGGCCCGAAAGCATCATTCATTTAAGACGGGAGGAAGGTTCAGCTTTGGAAGGCTAAAAGGCATGATAAGAATCCAACTACGGAATGTTGTTTCCTCCACATCCGCAGGGTACATGCGGATTTGGCTGTATCAAGACCAAAGGAAGGTTCAGTTTAGTGAAAACAATGAATCGTGCTCATCAACAATTCATTAATGATAAACATAGGGAATTTATCCGTAACTGTGTGTGCATTAAACAAAACTGCCATGACATGTCTTGCTAACAGACCACCAAGAAACAGCAACATTAATAACCCAATAAAATCCCACAAGAGTAGGGACTGAGAAGGGTGTGTGTACACTGATCTTACCCCTACTCGAAAGTAGAGAGGCTGTTTCCAAGAGACTCAAAGCCCGAGAAACACAAACTGCAGAGAAAAGCATAGAAAGCACAAAGCACAGCAAAAGAGGCACATAGCAAGTTAAGGGAAAGGAGAGGGAAAATAAACAATGGAAGAAAAGAGTAGCGAAACAAAAGAACTAAGCAAAGAAAGCGCACAATACAAGTGCAAGAACTACCACCGAGCCCAAGAGCCAAGCCAACTATCCAAATCCTCTATAGATGTTCCTATATAAGGTCATATCCTATTATCCTAAGAAATGCCCAAAAATCTTAGGTCATGTATAAACACTTCCTTCCCATTCTCCCTAGGTCTACCCTTTTCCACACTCTCGCTCACCACCGTTAGGCTCTCACATCTCCGCACCTGGGCCTTAGTACTCCGCCGCTTAACATGCCCAAACCACCTCAACCAGCTTCCCTCATCTTGTCCTGAAGAGGTGCCACTCCTACACGTCCCTGGATAACCTTGTTCTAAATCCTATCCAACCTCATAAGCCAACATATCCACTGTAGCATCCCGCATCTCCACAACATGGACGAACATGAGTTTTCTTAACTCCCTAGCAAAGCTAGTCAGGTAACAGATCGATAGAACTTCCCTTTCAGCCACACAGAAATCTTCCTATAGCATAGATCTTCCTAACTGACCAACAAGCATATAGAAAAAATGGGAACTTGTGCATAACTGCATATAATCCCATTTTGCAACATCTCCTTAAACTGTCATTCGATCTCGTCCTTGAGTAACTCCAGCTGGAGGTAAACACAAATAACAACGGGATCTGGCCTCGGGGTCAGGGTCAGAGTGTAATATGATGTGATGGTCACAAGTCCTGGCTAGCATGAAGGATGCAATTGTTGAGAAATGTCACCAAAGAGCTCAATGAGACTCTAGCACCTCCTGGTTAAATGTAGCTGAGCAGATAATGTGCATGGACGTCAGTGTAAGCCGTGTTGGGCTGCCCATGTAAGGAGTATGCCAAGGAGGGTGAATGTCATCTGTAAAGAGAGAAAAATCACAAGTGATAGGACCCAAGTTACTCTACCATTTCACCACCAAGACCATTTGAAAACTTGTTATGTTATGGAGGAGTGACAAAAAAGGTGCAAAGATAGAAACTTAGAAAGTGATGTCCTTAACTCCTTAAAAACACCCAATCCCTCCACAACTGATCCCCAATGTTGATGAGAACCTTAATCTAGGTATTGGGTAATTCAGAGACTGAGAATGCATAATTATCAGGACTGCCCAAGTCAACGAGTGTTATAAAGGCAGTTACACTTAAACACCCGTGAACCCTCATCATGCTACACTGTGTAACCTCGTATGGCATGAAGGTTCATTTTTGGTGTGTCGTCGTTGTACTCGTCTAACGTAGGAGGAGATTCACCCTCATCCTACGTCCAAATCATGAAAAGGTAGAAGCACTTATGACCAAGGTAGTATTTGGGGAGAAGGGGATGACTATGACTCCGATGACAAGAAAACCAAGAAATGGCCTTCTTGGGGAAAATCTCTGGCAGTGTTGATAGCCTTATTGAATGTCTTAGGGTAGGTTTGCTCATCATTACTCTGGAATACTTTTCATAAATAGGGCATGTTGAGCTGCAGAGTTTCAGCCCTTGCAAGACTAGTAAAGAGTTATTGTCATAATCATCAATATGCCTACCTCGTTGAAATAATTGAATAAGTTTTCCTTAAGTGTTGGTGCTGCTTGTCGGCCCAAAACTGAGGTGGCATTCTTCCTTTAAGGCTGCCCAAAACAGCAAAAAGAGAATTGTAGTTGGTCAGTCTCCAAGTGAAAGCACAAAAATGCATCTCAGATTCTCAGTTCCTCCATCATATGATGGGCAGTGAATTGGACTAGTTCAGAAAAGGGGATATGAGCATTGCGGAAATAGCACTCAGCACAACAGAAAAACTAGAGGGTACATGTTGCCGGAAAACAAAGGAAAGTCAATAGTGGCATTAGGAAGTGGTCAGGCTCGCTAGATGTTGGAATTCAAGGACCCTCGTTTTCTTGAATCAGTCTAAGCCTCGCCCTCCAACATGTGATTCCCTGGATTTACAGAAGTTGCTTAATCATTTGCTCTAAATCTGCCATTGTTGCTGCCTATGACTACTGGGCAATAGTGGAAGTCAGGTTCTCTATTGTATCTGCCTGGGGTTCAAGTGTTCTGATTGACTTTCACACAGCTTCAAAGGCATGCTCGGCAGTGATATTGTTTCCCATAAAGGCGATGCAACGGAACCAAGTTGTTATGTTTGTTAGTTGAACTTTTCGAGGAAAAGGAAGAACACTTCCCTATGGTGTCGCAGAAAAAGATCAACCTGAGAAAACACATTGAAGGTAGAGCCAGGAGAGAAGAAAGAAGACTTTATTTTTTATTCTAATATGTAATATCCATAAATCTAGGTTGCCGTCTTTTTATAAAGGACTACAATCCTGAATTGATAAGAAAACAAGGATAGTTGCCTAATAATAGAAGCCCAAGTAATACCTAATTGCTTAATTATAGTCACAATCTTTCAGAAACAGTCTCAGAGTCTCTCTACCTTTTCAAGGGGTAATATCTGCATACGCACACCCACCGAGACCCCAGTCTTGTTACTTTAGTGGGTTTGCTGTTGGTGATGTTGAATTAAAGTCTGACGAGTCGTGAGAAATAAATACATAAATGCCAACAAAATAAAGTAAACAAGCCCATTAAACTATTCCATCACAGATGTGAAGACTCGTAATCTGCCGGCAACAAAGGCAGTACAACTGCCTTCCAATATAGAGAGAGCAAATCTAAGGGAAAAAATTGTAGTAGGGATCTAGGAATACAACTAATGGAACCACAACAGATAGAAGCCAAGAAAGAAGAGAGAATTTCAAGCTTCTAGACATGGTTATGACTTGCCTTCTAGGAATAATATTGTTTTGACCCAATTATTGACATTTTCCTTCACACTATCTAGCTCATACAAGCAATTTCATTTACAATAAATGTAGTTGCTTAGGTATGGCAAGTAAAAATTAAAATAATGTGCTAATAGAACACTATAAGCTAAATACCTCTGCGCTAGACAATGTTGCAAAGACACCTCTACCAGGCAGATTTTCAAAACTTTCAACAGAAATTGAAGGAAGATCTTTGCCAGAGCTATGGTCCAAAAAAGCTCTGCATAAACGAAGAACTAGATAGGTGGCGGAAAACAGAACATATTTGAAGCATCCCATTGGTGCAACTTTCTACTTCCTAAATTTTATATTGTCTACACATCATGAAATCAAATCTTATATTAATTCCCAGTACCCCAACTCCTCAAGCATATTCAGAAATCATAGAATGTCATATTCTCTTCATATAGTCTTTGTTCGTTTGTTTATGTGAATTTTGAATGAATAAATGACAAATAGACAGTTGAAAAAGAATTATGAAAAGGGTTACAAATTCTGATTTTATTTCAAACATGCGAGGTTCTAAATGAAGCATCTAACAATATCAACACTAGAAATATACAAGCTCATAAAGATCATAAATTTTGAAAGAAAAATGTTAATAAAAAGTGAAAATAGATTATGATAAAGTAAAACAAGATCCTAGACTAATTTAATGTAGCAACTAATGAGCTGGCTCCTACTCAAATACACATTGTTTACAAAGGTATAAGAAACTAAAGAGTTTTCCATCCATTTTAAACAATAGTGGCATTGGTTGAGTCTCTATCATGCAATGTGTGTGTGTGTGAATGTTAACGAGAAGTAATTATAGCAGAAAAGGACAACATACATGAAAGCCATTTAATGAACAACCTTCCAATTGGGTGAGTAGTGCCCTTCTCCATCGCAGCTGCAACAGCAAGGGCTTCTGTTTCACAAGTGGGTTTACAGCAAGCAAACTGTTTCTCCTGCCTACTCATGTGACCATGAATTGGTTCAATTGCTTTACACACAAAATCCCCAGTCGTCAAAGTGCCAGTTTTGTCAAATGCAATGCTACGACATGATGCTAGAGCATCAAGAACTTCACCGCCTTTGAGTAATATTCCCTACAAACAGAATGTGTTAACGTTCACAAGTTTGTTATATGCATTTCCTCTACAATAGAGCATTTGCAGGCTTAGGCAGAGAGCTCAAGAAACAAATTCATAACTGTCATCATCAAGCTTCAATTTATAAAAGAAAACTCAAAGACTGATCTAATCTGTCTCAAAAAAAGATTTTCCTAACTGAAAATCCAATATGGGTCGCTATGCTTTAGCTTTTCCTTATGGTGTGTTAAAAATGTTTGAATGAATTTTTTATCAAAGCAGCTTTGTTTCTTAAATTGTTGCCATCAGACGAGAGTGCTTCGGTGGGTAGCTTTTCATGACAATTTTCCACCAGGGTTTAAGAGAGGAGTAGTTTATTTTTTGTTATTTGATTGATTTTTTTTATATTTTAACCCAGCATACTCTTTATTATACTCCCTCCGTCCCAAAAAAACCTCTTCACTTTCTCTTTTCATCCGTCCCAAAAAACACTTCCACTTTCAATTAAAATCTCTTTTACAGTTTTACCCCTACTAATTATTAACCTACCTATTACATCATATCTATTCACTATTAATCTACCTATCACATCATATCCTACCCTACAATAAAGTAAGGGTAAAATTGGAAAGTAACACCAAAATTATACATTCATTAAATCCTACCTTTTTCCAAAGTAGAAAAGTTTTATGGGACGGAAGGAGTATTTCTTAATATTTGAATATATAAAACAAATACCTTTTAAAATATGTCTAAACTTCCTCTATCCCAAAATAAACTATGGAGTTCATGCATTGACTGTGTTGAAAATTAAAAAGTGAATGGCTGGAATCTGTAAAAAGGTGAGAGAAAGATTGTGAGTCACCTATTACATTATTTAATAGGAAAAATGGAAAATGCGAAGTTTACTTTGGAATGGATGGAAAGTTTGAATTTTATTTGATACAGTCTAACAACACCACCACAGTTAGATAATCAAACAAATACTCCCTCCGTCCTAAAACGATTTACCTCTCCAATATTACGACATGTCGATAACTTTTGTTTGTTTTCATGTTTTCATATACCATTTGACATAATAAAATATTCTTGTCACCTCTTTGTTTTGTAGAACCTTTGATGTAGTTTTTAAATATATAATTTTTATTTTTTATTCTTATACCAATTTGTAAATAAAATCATTTTCAAAGTCACAGCATTTTACACGTTAAATGGAGAGAGTAATTCATTGAGGGTGGAGGGAGTATGAAATGTAAAGCTGCATTTCATCTTACAAAACTCATAGCCATAGGCCATAGCTAATATCTTACAGCACCACGGTCAAACCATAGCCATGACAAATGGACCCTTTAAAATCAAATTCACATTCTAATTAATAGCCCTTTGATAAATCTCACAAAATGGCAAGATGAGGCGATCCTTCAACAATATTACCAGGTTCACCACTAGGGCCATAGCCCATGCCTCATTTGAAGGCAATAAGGCATAGTAGGAATGTAAGACCTAAACTAGACGAGACAACATACAATAAATCAAAAGCAAAACACAGATACTACAAAGCAATACGAAAACAGTCAGTAAAAATATAAGCTAAACACATACTCAATAATAGACTAAAAGAGATACCTTTCTAGCACAAGCGCTGATAGCTGTCACATACGCCAAAGGAGCTACAGCTAAAGCACATGGTGATGCGGCTACCATTAACCCAAGTGCTCTATAAATTGATCCTCTGCTAGCTTCATAAATTAAACAGGTTACAAAGTATAATAAGGCCAAAATAGAAGAATATGTGCATAAGAGTTGCAATATCTACTAATTTTCTGCTATACTAGGGTACACGATATTATGTTCCCCTGCGTAACTACGAGTTGCAGGGCGTTTTGTTTGGGGTTAAGGCTCCTCCAAGGAAGAGAGCTAACTATGATTGTTGATGCCTCTTTTGTACTAGTGTTGCCTCCCTGCGATGGAGCAGAGAGAGAGAGAGAGAGAGAGAGTCTTGGAAGAGTTTTTTATTTGAACTGCAAAATCACTTGGACCATTTTTCCGAAACTCCTTTAATAATTCCAAAATACAAGGGCTTAAAAAGAGTCTATTATAATAAGAAAACTTTTAGGATACAATGACATAACTCCAAAGAAAAGCAATTCAAGGAAACTAAATGCATTTTGCCCGAATCCTGGACTATTTTTCCTTTGGTTATTTTCTTTCTTCCGCCTGGCCTTCCCTTTCACCCATGCTACCCCTTCACTGGTAGGTCCAGCACGTGTATGTATCATGCTGGGTAAGCAATGAAGTACTTGACAACACACTTATGCCAACCACAATACAATCAACAGGTGAAGAGAGATTGCCAGCAATGAAATGCTATGTGCAATGTTCAAACACACACCAAGTAAGCATATTATAATTTCCTTCTCCTTTCAAATATGGGTCACATTTCTCCACAAGACATTAAGCAAACCAGTGAAACAGATAGAGATAGCAGACTGAACTATAAAAGTCAGAAAAACTATTGCCCTAACAAGTCATATGAATTACCTGAGGAACTAATGAGTGGCCACCTGAAAAGAAAAGGTCCCATAACAGCAACAGAAATGGAAAGGAGTACCACAACCTTGCTATACTGCTCTCCAAAGTTATCCAACCACCTCTGAAGCTTTGGTTTACTTAACTGAGCTTCCTCGGTCAACTGCACAATCCTGTTTAGTGTCGACTCTTTCCATGTTTTCTTCGCCTAGATTTCAATTAAATAATGGAATCAATGTATAGATATAAAAACAAAGTATACTCTCTATTTTCTCTCCCAAAGTATAGACTTAAAATGACATTAATTTCTTTATAAGATTTGATGAAAAATAATTCTTGAGATAAAGCATTCAACTAATTAAGTGCAACGGCAATGAAACAATAGTTGAAAATACAAAATAGATCAATTTCTTGATAACCAATACTCCCTAAGACCTAAATAAACTTCACCATTACTATTTACTTGTCAGACTAAATCATTTGTTACAATAAAATATCCATGTCACATCTTGTTCTATAGAAGTTTTTATCTAGTTTGTGTGTATATATATATATATATATATATATATATATATATATATATATATATATATATATATATATATATATATCGGTAAGTCTAAAATGACACCAGTGCTACTGCTACTGGTGTCATTTGCTTACACCAGTTCGTTTGGGGTACCTACAGTGCTCCGTTTGTAAAAACAACGGTTCCTACCCCCCCTAAACCCCCTACCCCAGCCCCACCCTTGCCCCCCCTCCCGCCCCCCTCCCTACCCTGGCAATACACTGCCAGGCAGTGTACTGCCAGGGTAGGGAGGGGGGCGGGAGGGGGGGCTGGGGTGGGGGGGCAAGGGTGGGGCTGGGCTGGGGGGTTTAGGGGGAGGGTTAGGGGGGTAGGAACTGTCGTTTTTACAAACGGAGCACCGTACGTACCCCAAATGAACTGGTGTAAGCATCTGGTGTATAAGTAACTGGTGTCATTTTAGACGCTCCCTATATATATATATATATATATATATATATATATATATATATATATATAAAATACCAATATGCAAATAACTTTAATCAAAAGTGACTTCAATCAAGCATCGTAAACCAAAATGTTTTATTTAGGGACGGAGGGAGTAAAAAAATTCTGCATCGGGCCATCAGCTCTCTTTTAGTTGTTTCAAAGAATTTTTTTGTTTACTAATAACTGCCACTTTAGAAACTCCAAGAGAGTAGCAATAATGGATCATTTTCCATCATTACCCCATTTACGTCCTACATACTTTTAAAAATATTACTCCGTAATAGTTATTCTAGTCTTATTATTCTTGAAAAAATCTCTTAGGCATTCTATAATTAATTATTCTTGTAACTAGCTTGGGGCATATAATTTGTACACTTTTCTTGAGGGAGAATGTGAGAATCATTTTTGTTTTTTTAGCCTGACATAGTGACATGAATAAGTATAGGGCTTTGTACAAACTAATTCATAGCAAGAGTCATTCCTCTCTTAATAGGTTCACACAACTCACATGGAACATTAAATCATTTGGTCTTTCACTTATAACAGAAAAATCACAAATCTCATGGAATTTTATATATAAGAAAAGGTAAAGGAGCATACCCTCACTATCAACATACCATCCACGTTCCTCGCTCCCCCCGGAATGCTATCCCCAACGCTTTTTTCTAAAGGTTTGACCTCACCCGTCAAGTGCTCAACTGTGATTGTTGAGCTACCTTTTAACACTTCACAATCCACAGGGACAGACTGATTAAAGAAATAGTAAAACCTAGTATTATAATAAATTTAAATTCAATGAACAACACATAACAACCATCATTAATGAAATAAGCTAGTAAGTAGAGAAACCATTAACATACAGCAGCACACACAATAACACAATTTAATATGATGTAATAGCTATGGAGGTGGCAAGGTGCAATGTACATACCTCGCCCGCTTTGACAAATATTAATGAGCCAACTTTCAAGTAGCTCACAGGAACTTCACAATATGTCAAGTGTGAGAAACTCGGTAAGCTTCCACTATTTGTATCAAGCAAAAGAGCAAACTCTGGATGATTTTCTCTCAATTCCTTTACGTCAATCTTGGAGCGGCGAGTGAAGGCCTCCTCAGCTATGTGGTTAAATGGTTATTTGGTAAAGAATTCAAATCTCTTGGCAGAGATCAACAGCCAAGTAAGCACATAATAATACACATACCTATATGCGACAAATTAAACATCGCTAAAAGCAAGCCACCTTCCAATGGGTTTCCCATGAAAACTGAAGCGAAGGCTGCAAGAGCCATCAGCACATGGATATTAATTTTTCCACCACTAATGTCCATTAGGGCATCAAGTGAAGCTGAAATCTGACATGAATCATGACATACAAATTCAGAACATAACCAAATATACAAAATATTGAACAATACACAAACAACACAAGATACCCCTATAAGGAGTTCCCAGGAACACATAGCATTGTTCTTTGGGCACTGGTCATATATCACTTCATAAACATCCACAATATCTTTATATGTTCGCTCCACCCACTGGGTTTAGCAGAACATTAACATCCTCAATAATGATATGATGGGAATCTATTGCAACCTAGTCTATGCATTGGAGACTACTTATGAAAAGCATAATAATCACTCTGTTTAGGATCGCATGATCATACAAGCTAATGCACGCAATTAGCTGTTCTTAAAAGGAAATTCGATTAGGAACAATTGTGTAAGCTATGTGAATGGACATTAGAAATACCCCGACAAGAGGAAAGGCAATGGCAGCTAAAGCATGTTGGAAAGGCTTTGTGGCGGGTTTAGGAAGCACATAAGGGCAAGCGGATGCAGCAATAAACAAAGCGGCTGAGAAACAACACAGTTCCAAATTTTCCCGCAGGAAATTGGACAAGTTGGTCCACCTAGTGATCTCAGCAAACTTGAGAAGAACCTCCTGGGGTTTAGTTAGTTGCAGATTACATTCATTGGGACCATGGTGGTGGTGGTGGTGATTGTCATGATAATCACGATGGCCATTCTGCTGCTGCTGACCGTGGCCGCGGTCGTGATGGTGGTGGCTGTGGGCCGAGCAGGAGGTGGGGTAGCGGCGGAGATGGGCTGGTGGAGAGTATGTAATACTAAAGTTGCGACGGTGCACGGGAGGGAGAAGAAGAATCGGGTTTACTCTGGACCGAATCGGGTATGGGGCTCGGGTTCTGCAAGGGGATAATTTAATCCCGGATAAGAGAACTTGAGCCTCCATTGGAGACGCAGTTCAGCGAACAAAGAAAGATTTGATTTAAGGAAGATGATGCTGGTGGGTTGGGGTCATAGTTGCATCATCATGTCCACACTTAGCGTTTGCCCCCAATTGCCAGACGGAACTCCACTCCCACTAACTAGCCGATGATGCAAAATTGTGGTTCTTGCTAAATTTTGTGGGTTACAATAAACACTGTACCCAAAATTTGTATCTCATTTGTACACCAATAGTATACATCAATATTTTAATGGTTTACACTTACACAAAATGTTGGTACATTAATAAAAATTTACACTGACACAAAGCGTTGGTGGGTTAACAAAAATTAACATTACATCAACTGTTGGTGCATCTATGCGGTGTACAAAATGGGGTACAAATTCTTGGGATACAAATAGCATTATCCTACAATATACAAGTGGTTTTTATAAAACGATTGTTTGGGAACCTTTTAAATATGCCCAGAGGTAAAAACCAAGTATAAAAATATTGAAAACCACTTGTTTGGTTTGGAAACCGGAAACCGAACGCCGAATACCGAATGCCGGACGCCGAACGTCAAGTGCCAAACGCCGAACGCGTGGTTTTGGTTTGGACAAAGACCAGGGATTTTTGCAACTTTGAAAATCTTATGAAAAACGTTTATTTGATGCATAAAAACGTTTCATGATTTTACCGAGACTTGCTTTGATTGTCAGCTTTTTATCACAATGAGACCGACTCGACTAAGTCTTCAAATCTTGATCTTGTCCTTGAGTCTCTTGGTCTTGTTCCATGGCTTACTTCACGCCTTGAGTTATTCAACGAAACTCTTCATATCCACGACGGTTTGGCAATTATTAAAATCTATCAGAAACGAACACGACTTTAGTTCAACGAAATATGAAGTCTGTTCCAACAGGTAACGGATCAGAGGGTCATACGTTTTTCATTTATTCTTTCGTCTCTTGCTGAGTACGAAAGTTCGACTTGAGTCTACGCTCGATACGATTTCAGTATAAACAATTGTTGTCTAATGAGAATTTAACACAGTCAATATTTATCAGGTAAATTCTCATTACCTTTCCTAAAGTAGAGGGATGCGAGAGTCATGGATGTGGTTGACATTTTTTTAAATCAAATTTTGATCCGAAGATCGATTTTAAAACCAAACTCCGATACCAAATTGTAACACCCTTATCCGTCCAGGTCTGCAACCCTTTTTGGATTAAAATATAAAGTTGGTAATCGTAAAGTTTAAAACATTTCAAACATTTTTATTTATCATAATAATATTCAATACATGATCAGTAATAATACGAAGTGTTTAATATTGCGTAAGCGAATTAATATATGTCACATATCAATCACAAAAAATTATTCTAGTCTTTTGAAACCACAATTCAAATTGTCACATCCATCTCGACAATCCCGCCCCATCTGCCACTAGGAATTCATCACTTCATTCTTTCTGTTTACCTGCGTGTAGCAAATAAAACATATTACATGCCCATGGATCAAGCTGAGTAAGGATATTTAATGCATCGAACATCCACATAAATTGAATCTCAATTCATAATCAAATCATTTGATATCATGCACATAATATTCAATTCAAGCATTCATCATACAATATTCACTTCGGATCATTTCATGACATGTTCAGTATCCAGTTTTCATACTTGTCAATAGCATCCTTAAATTATTCTAAAGTTAAGGCAAAATCATTTTGATAACAAAGATCTTATACTATTTTTAGTCTAAGACAATATTTCTAACCGGACTCTTAAACTATGATTAATTTAAGGCAGAACACAAGAATTAATGATCCATCCTACGAGTCTTATGGATCACGCTCCAACCAAACAATGGACTGTCTGGTGGGTGATATCCCCCAAACGAGTGATCCTCAAGTTTGGTTTGGATCTTGTACGTACGTTTTAATCTCAGATTACTGAATTGGTTACATAGGTATATCTTAGAGTTATTCGAGATATCCTTAATAATCAACATTAACTATCTAAATGGGTATATCTTAGAGTTCTACTAGATACCCTTAACAATACACATTATTTTCATAATCATTAATATATTCATTTTTAATCATGATTCAATCATTCATAATTATTACTTTAATCAAAATACTCATTAAAGTTCGATCATAAACAACATCAATAATAATCATCATGATATTCGATAACAAATACATATACCGGTCTAGCGTCGAGTGTTAACACCCTAGCTTACCGTCATACACCACATAAGGTTCTTGGATGATCAAAACATCATTTTTATTTCCAGAAATCATTTTTATATTGATCATAATTGATTGGTATCAAAAATAGGATTTAATAGTTCAAAATTCGGGTTTTCTGGAAAATTTCAGAAATTTCATTTTAAGTCACTAAACTTCAATTAAACTATATATAAATATTCTCCAAGGTTCATAGATCATTTGGTATCATTTGTTCGTAGTTTTAACAACAATTTCAAAATTTATGATTCTTGGTTCTTCAAACAAGTCAAACACAAAACTCAACCAAACGACCGTTTATGAACGTAGAAACGGTCCATACGAACATTCTAATCACTAGATATTTCTAAGGGCTTAACTCGAGCTCAAATGGGGTTTCGGAATTTTTCCGACAAAACTTCCAGCGAGAATTATGACTTACTCCGATGACCTCTCACCAAATTGATAGTACCACAACGTTCTCCTCACTCAGAGCAATAAAATAGAAGGAAAAATTGTGAAGAATGGTGAAGAATTGAAGGAGTTGAAGTTGGCTTATAAAGGAAGAAGATGGGGATGCTTCCAAGGCCGGCTGCGTAGGATTTCTAAATGGTGATCTTCGTTCGGCGATAGTGCAATTTAAGGAGATTCAGCACGCTACTTCTCTGATTTGGACTAATTTGGTCCTACTCGGGGTACACTTTTTGGTCCAACTTTCCTCAATGATATAATTTTATATTTATTGGTGATACTTTTTTTGACATCATATTTTTGGGTTTTTGACTTTGACAGAGTCAAAATTGATTAAGTTGACCTTTATTCAAAAAGATTTTCATAATACTTATTCTCATGATTTATTTCAATAAATCATTTCAAAGTTTATATCATAAATCAAATTCTTTATTTATTCTTAATTCGAATTTGTACTCTGGTTCCCAATCAAGATCACATAAATAGTCAACATATTGGATTTATCTCTATGAGATTTATCCACATTGTGATATTGGATATCAAAACATATTTCATTTCGGCCCAAAGCCCAACAATATTTTATTTTAATCAATACAAATTTATTTAATTGAATAATACTTCAATAATAAATTTAGGATGTGTTTCGGGGCGTTACATCATTACTGTAAAAAAAATAGGATCCGCAATCAACTCCCAATCCTCACCTCCACCATCTTGGAACTCTATTTTCGAAATATAGGATTCGTAATTGAAGTCACGCGATTCCATTCGATGAGGCAGCTAAAGTGATCTTTGAGATGAAATAGATATACATCTAGGGACATGAATGATTGTGCGAGAGAGGAATAAGCAAATTAGATCAAAAAGAGTGAATGTGTGCATGTGGGGGTTAGAGAGAGTAAATGGGAGTTTAAGGATAAGGGCATTTTTGGAACAATGGGGGTTAAAATTAGAAATGGAAAGATTATATCCATACGGGAAAAAAAAGAAAAAAGGAAGATTATTTCTAGACGAAGGGAGTAGTATTTTAACCCATGTCATGCACGGGGTCGAACGCATGTTTTTTTACTCTATAATGTTTTTTCAAAGTTATTGATTAAAAATCAATCAAAACTTAAAACTAACCCAAAAAATTAAATGAAGGATATAATAAATAACATGTGCTAATGAAAATTCTTTTAGGTTTTATTTGGTACACAAAATTAGAATTGAAATACAACACATGACCATTAACTATAAAAAATTATCAATATCATTTAACAAAATTATCAGATGTTATAACACATGTTATAGAATTGTATGTTTTACTAACTGCTCTTTTATTTAAAAAATCTTCCAAGTTAAAAAAATTTGGTGTAAAAAAAGTCTTTCTAGCTGCCTAATCCTATTTTACATAGCTCATGGTATCCACTATCCATGTTACGGAGTACAAGTATTGCCTTAATTACACTGTCATTTTAGTATGTTAATTCAAGTACTTCAAACTATTATAAAGGATGACATAGGGCAAAAATCTAGAGTGGAAGGAAAAATGAATATAAAAAGAATCTTGAATTTCAATTTTACTAACATGTAATCCTCACAATTGAAAAATAAAAAGCAAATAGTGTCTTAGTAACAAAAGAAAGCCTGCCTTTTCTCTAAAGAATACTCTCCCCCTCTGTTTACCCTTCCCTAATACAACCTTGATATTCCAGACCAAACAGTCCCCACATTTATCTGAGCACTAGTGGTCGTAGCACCATATTGACGTTTAAACTACTTTAGTAGGTTAGTATGGGCGTTGATTCCATTAGTGTACACGATCTGTGGGTTACTTCATGCCTGCTTGGGTCACATATAATTGGTACCAATGGTGATGGCAACATGTGTTCGTAGCTATTCCATAGTGAAGCATTTGTTTTTCATGTGTGAAGAAAAATTGGACATCTCACAATTAATAAGTTGTTGTAGCGGGTATTTCCTACTACTTCGCCACCCCACATCTCCGGTAGCTATAAACGAACGACATCATCTACAGATTCCTAACCATATTTCAAGTCTCACATGGCAATACTTGATTATAAGAAACAAAAGAGAACAAAAGCTATGTAAACATGGAAGGAATGACAAAGAGTGAGGATACCTGGGTATGTCTTCTGTGTGAGTGAAAGGTTCTTGGTAGATTGCTAGGAACTCAAGTAGGTGTTAGCCATATGTGCATCGATTGTCCCGTAGGCTATGTGGGCCAAGTCACAATCGAATGTCGTGGGAGCTTGCGTGCTGAATGCACTATAAGTCTAGGGTATGCGTCTCTTCTAACACTAGTTGGTTTTAAAAGAGTTGGTAACACCTGAGATCCTACAAGTGGTATCAAAGTCAAGGTCACGAGTTCGATTGCCAGTGGGATAAATTGTTGAGGGGGAGATTGTTGGCCATGTGTGCATCAATTATTCTGCGGTGGAGGCTATGTGGGCTAAGTCACAATAGAATATCATGGGCACTTATGTTTTGAATGCACTATAAGGCTAGGGTTTGTGCCTCGTCTAACACC